ATTTTAGCGTAGTAGCATTAACATTACTGCATAAAGTATTTAAACCAATTTCCCTAATATGTTGTTTTCACAGCTATAATTCACCTGATGCCTTCTCCTAATTTTCAATATCTGGATTTCTTAAATGAAGTTTTGCTGGCGTTGCTGCAAACCTTATACTTCTCTGGCAGAAATTATTGGATAAGTTCTGAATATCAGAACAGCAACTCGACATGGCGTCAATTCCATAAGACCACCCCCGTGGAGATGTAGTTTTGATAGCTGCTAACATCTCCCTGATATTTTTATTTGCCGGATCTTGCTTAATAAACTAAACTTCTGTACATTTAGAACACGTGGCCGGCCCATATACACGCAACACTCAGAAACAGAATCTCCTATCCGCCATCCACACCTCGGACGTTTCGTCTCATTTACCGTGCACACCTTTCTGCTTGGGCGACTAGGCAATCCCTGCCACGGACACCTGTTCAAACGAATTTGATTTTGGTTGTTATGCTGAGCGCATCTTAGTCACAGTTCCTGGGAGAGAGCGCGTGATTTATCATGATCGGCACTTCGAACAAAGAAACATAACATCAGTTACGATGACTTGTCTGGTCGTGCTAACACTACCATAAACGTCTTCTAAACGTTACCGTCTACCAATATTAACTTATTCAAGTTTGCGTTAATATTTGGTATACTTTTCATGCACTTTTCATGCAAAGACTTAGACTCTCTGCAGATATCGATGACATCAAGAAATCACCTTCCTGACAAATCGAACATAGTGGGCTTTAAATCCGGGTTTCACGGTGATGTTCTAAGCGTAGCATAGACGTGGCACAACTCCTGAAGTATATGGCGCCCAATGAGGAACGAACTCACTATTCAATCGTAATTATTCTAGTGAGACAATTTTGCTAACCATTACACAAATTCGATGTGCCCATGGTGATTTTGAAAGCGCAGCTTCGATGTAACACACGGTCGAAAGTATGGGGCAGCCAGTGGGGTCGATCAAACACTATTCGGTCTTAATTTCTCTTTCCAGACAAGCATACTGACCATCGCACCACGTTGAAATGCCCATCGAACCCAAGCCTCATGGTCGGTGAACGAATGTAATATCTACTCAAATGCGCACCAATTATGATGCTTGAGCGAATTTTTGCCGGTGAACACAACTAGAGTTACTGCACAGTCAGAAGGGATGGGAGTCAAGAAAACCGTAACTCGAGTCAGTGTTAACACTGACTTCTTTGTTTTTATGGGCCATATAATTTCAGAACCTAGGCGATCATGGCTCTCCACATCGTTCTATCCCTTGCAACTCTAAACAAGTTCCTTCCCTCAGCTACCTTCCCCAAACAACGTACTGTCATCCACTTGCTTAAGTCCGATATGTATGCCATGCGTTGTTTTCACTTGTCTCTCTTTCCCTCTATTCGCCCTGTAAGTGTCAGATTCTCCAGGCCCTCCTACCTCATTATGTGTTCCAGAAATTTCAGCTGCCTCTTCCTGATATTAAGTATAAGCCTTCTCCTTGTTTGCAACCTTTCTAAGTCCTCGTCGTTGCTCACAAGCTCGGTCCATGATATCCTTAGCATCTTTTTTAGAGACACATCTCTGTCGCCTCGAGTCTCTTTTTCATCTTTGAGGAAATCGTCCAACATTCGCTGGCGCAAAGAAGGACAGATGTCACGTGATAGTTCAGTATTATTTTCTTTGTTACCAAAGAAATCCTTCTGTCTCGCAGTACTCTACCCAGCTTTTGGAATGTGTTCTTGGCCATCCCAATACGTCTACGGATCTCAGTTTGGCATTTACCTTCCTCTGTCAAGACGCTTCCCAGATATTTAAACTTCAGCGTCTGATGGATTCTAGTGTTCCCGACCTTCACATCGCATTTCGGGCCCATCGTCTTACTGTTGACCAAGCAATCTATCTTCTTGTAGTTTATGCTTAGTCCTTTCTTCTCACTCTCTGTTACTACCTTCTGTAAGAATTTTTTGTAATTTCTTTTCCACGTCTCCTCTCAGTACTTTGTTATCTGCGTATCTTATGTTGGTAAGGTTGTGGCCGCCAAAGTTACGAAACCAAATTTGACAATTAAAAACAGTAACTTTATGTCTTTAACTTTTAACTTTATATACTACTACACTATGGCCTTTGCGCATGTATTTTAACATGCCTACAAATTATTTACTGACCATTTCGATTCAGACGATATGCTCTCCCGCCTTCCCCTGTTAACGTTTCATCTGGAAGTCAATGAAGTTAATAGTTCTGTATAGTAATATAATCGTCTGACAAAAAATTCAGGAGTGTGAGAAAGTTCGTTTTATTTTTACAGTAATGTTCACTTTGTACAAGCCTCGAGAGCCACGAGGTATATAATGAAAAAAAGAGGTACAGTTTTTGAGGATATGTGGAGGAGGTAACGGTTAACCCAAGACTTGAACAGGTTAGCCGTTCGTGGGAAGAAGTTGCTCGAATGTAACTTACATCTCACCAGTGAAACACGAAGAGAATGAAGCTGGTTTGCTACAATATGCGTGGCGTGGCGGGTCTTACCTGTGAATTTCGGAGCTGGTGGATCTATGTAATAGTTTGGAAATAGTGATATAACAGAGGCTTTCAACGATTCGTCTGTGAGAAACGCGTTGTAGGATGGGACATTAACTGTCATCCACAGGAACGTGGATACGCTTTTGAACTCTATGAAGAGTGGAAAGTGAAGATTGGGCTGTTCGTGTCCTTATCTGGCAGAAGTACTGTATTTTAGGCTTGATCTGGCTCTGGGAAAGGTGGAGGATAGTAGGAAACGGCAAGTACTTACTGCGACTATACAAGGAACTGACCATTTTTTCTAATGTCTTTAACGATGTACCAACAGCAGCAACAACTAAAATGGATAGCACATGTAAGTTGAAGAATAAATAATGTGATAACGAAGATGTTGATATTCCACTCAGCTTGAATCAAGAGCTAGGAAAAATGCTTCCAGAAATACTGAAAAAAGCGATACTGGACTTGTGATACCTATTTTACTGAAAAAAAGTTTCAATTGAAATATTTTAAAAAATTTCAACCTACAGTAGAAAGTGAATTCACGGTCAGTAAATGCCGAATGTTTCATTTTAAGGACCAGAGCCTAGCAGCTCATCTATATATTAACCTTGCATTAACAACACGCTGTGGGAAAATCTGTCTAGATATACTTAGAACTTTAAGAAAAAAAAACACGAAGTTTTTACGTTCCCTCCTAACAGACAAGCTCCCTAATTTTCGTCTATCGAAATGAAATGTTGCTCTCTCAAGGAGGCCCCTTGTCTTGAACACCTACTGGGATTTAATTCAGCGAAACCTCAAGTGGAACAGGATATACGATCCATCGAGAAAGATGCCAGAAAAATGGTCGGTTCCGTCTAAAGCTACAGTAGGTACCTGGTTCTTTCCGCTCTGCTCTACCTTTAGAAAAGCTACATTAGATCGAAAAACGCGTACTGCAGTTATATTTGTGCTGGTTTTGCCTAATGTTCGCTTTTCAGTCAAAAGCATCTGCTGATCCTTGGGAGTGATTATTTTTTTCCACCTTCCAACCTCTTCCTACAGTAGAATTTTTGAAAAGTCACTACATTCCTTAGTTCTCCAAACATTACACCTCCTATCCAAGACCCGTGTACGTAGAGGCGAACCACCCTCATTCCATTTGGATTCCATTAGTAAGATAGCTTCTTTCCAAGAACTGCTGCTTTGTAGAGTAGGATCCCAACAATATGTTTTCCAACCGACTATAATTTTCACCCACTTCAAGTCTAGGGTTGACCGTTACCTTTCACACATACCCGCATAAACAGCGCCCTTACTCTTACCCTCTCAAACAACAAACACCTTCAGTTACCCTATACCTTCGGTGTTCCATGGGCCTAATGAACATTAGCAAAAAAAAAAAGAAAAAAAACAAAAAAAAAACAAGCATAGAAAACAATAAAAAAGGGCGGATTCATTATAAGGAGACAAGATAATACACCTAGTATCCAATTATTGCACCACGTTGGTAGGATGTAACACAAGGTCTGTTTTATGTGGGGAGCCCACGCGCGTGCATCCGGACCAGGTCCCCAAATAGCCCAGCCCCTGCAATCGTCAGTTGCGCTGTGATCGACCGCTGGTAGCTGGTCCCCGAATAGTTGCGGTCTGTCCGCAGATAGAAACATAATTGAGAGATAAAATGTAGTTTGTCCGCGGAGGACAAATGCAACATTTAGCATTTTACTTCCCACACCGCGTTGGCAGGATGTTACATATGGTCACGAGCCTGTGAATCTTGACCAGGTTAAAAAAAACAAAAACATTTCAGCCCATGTAAACGTCGAATGGGCTTGTATCAGTATTACTGTCGACCTCTTCCACTTTAGTTCAATGAGGGGATTACTGACGTAGCCAGCTGTCCCCCAAGACAGTTCAACTTTCCATAACACAGAGTTAAACCCTTTATCTATATATGGCAGTAGATTATTCTCGTTATATTGTCCCTGGCTAGGGGTATATATATATGGCAGTAGATTATTCTCGTTATATTGTCCCTGGCTAGGGGTATATATATATGGCAGTAGATTATTCTCGTTATATTGTCCCTGGCTAGGGGTATATATATATGGCAGTAGATTATTCTCGTTATATTGTCCCTGGCTAGATATATATCTGGCGATTATTCTCTTTATATTGTCCTTGGCTAGGGGTATATATATGGCAGGAAGATTATTCTCGTTATATTGTCCCTGGCTAGGGGTGTATATATGGCAGTAGATTATTCTCGTTATATTGTCCCTGGCTAGGGGTATATATATGGCAATAGATTATTCTCGGTATATTATCCCTGGCTAGGGGTATATAGTTTTGTTCTTATTTAGAAGTGCTCAGTTATTGGCTATTTCTATTGGTTTATTCTATCGGTAATAATAAAATATAATTCTTTTTTCGTATTTTCTTCTTTATTACATAAAAAACAGCTCCAAGAACAGCTCTGTGGAACACAACACCTCTCAATCCGTGTGCGCTGGTGTGCGCTCCTGAGAAAATGAATTGGTTAGTAGTGAAATTCTCTCGAGCGGTGGTTGACGGCACCTCCTGTGGACCCAGAAGTATTTGTACAGCCGGAAAATGCATCGTAAGTCTTTTTTCATCTGTGCGCCTCTATATCTATGCATGAAATATAATGTAAGGAACGTAATGTTATATATGATGACCCCAACAAATTAAAGACACATGATAAAATTTTTAATAATTATTCAATAAGAAATATTCAAACATTAAAAGATTATGATAAAATTTGATAGAATGTTTAATTTATTCAAAGACATACCTAAAAATTTGTACAAAATACATAAATTGTCATCTTTAGGGCGCAATTTTTCCATACACAGGCAAACACTAAGACGAAATATGTGTAGTGTAGACCGAGAGATTTTTTTCAATTATGCTTTTTATTGACAGCTAAATATGTGTCAAGCGTATGATGCCACGACCTTAGAGTCTTTTTCAAATCAATTAAGTGAGAATTGAAAAATTGAGCCTCAAAGATGACAATTTGAAATTGTTGAAAGTACTTGGCCCCTCAATTCCATCTGACAACAACTCAAATATATGGATCATATTACTCAATGAATTGATAATAAGTTAATGTCTCATTAAAGTTTGTTAGCGAAGTGATTTCACCATTAATCACATTAACATTGCTAATTTAAGTTTTTGTATAAATTGTTTCTTTATGATTTATATATATATTTATATATATATATATATATATATATGTGTATATATGTGTATATATATATATATATATATATATATATATATATATATATATATATATATGTGTGAAAAGTGTGTATATATATATATATATATATATATATATATATATATATAATTATTTATATATTATATGCGCAGTACTTATTAGAAAGCGCTCAATATCAAAGATAGAGCTAACATATTTGGTTGGATTGATGTGAGTTTGTTTGACTCTAGGGTTTCACGCTTTTGCGATCGACAGGCAAACCCTGACGATCGCAAAGCGTGAAACCCAGGTCACAACTCACATCAATCCAACCATATATATATATATATATATATATATATATATATATATATATATATATATATATAATTAATTAATATAAAATTTGTCATGGATAATTGCTGTTATATTCAGCATCACGACTCTAAGATTGCATAGACGAACTTTTTTAATTGTTCGGTCCACCCTTCAGAAAATTTTAAATGTTATATTTAGTAGAGACACGTGTTTGTGTAAACATCCAGTTTTAAACAATGTAAATTAATTTCGGCCGACATGTGAATTCGACATTTTTAACAATGAAAATACATGCGTTGAAGATGTGTATTCAATGAGAGAAAAGGATTAAATATGTAGCAATTATGAATTTAAAATGTTTCGATGATTATTTAGCTTCTTCGGGATCTGTCTTTAAGTGAATTAATGCGGAGTGGCTTCGATTTATAAATTTTATTTTGTTTCTGAGGAAGGATAAATGTTATACCAGAATGTACCTATTCTATTGTAAATAGACTCTCCCACAGATAATAAGTAGTAGTAGTAGCAGTCGCCAGTGGAGCTGAGTGAGTTGTGTGAGTCAGTCGATGTCGGACATTAAAGTATGAGCCCCACAACTAGATTGCTGCGTCATTAACTATTATTTCAAGTTCCTAACGTTTTGTACGTCGAACCTAATTTAGGACCGACTTATTGAAATACAAGCCTCCACTGTGAAAACTACTCTACAACAATAAATAATCTATGAATATATGATCTGAGACATTCAATAGTTTCATAAAAAATCTCGCTCTGATGAGCGTTGATTGTGAAACTTGAATCGGCTCACGAGATGACTCAACTGAACTTTTCTTAATTATATTGAATATTATAGCCCAAATTATCTATTGAGCACTTTTTGGCAAAAGTACTGCTAACCTGAAAAAAAACGTAGATTTTCGCATATGTTCTCATTTAAAGTTTTATTATTATTATAAATATACACTATTTACATTATTCGGACAACATGGCACAGTGGATAGAGGCATTAGTTAGATCCAGTGACAGGAACCAAAGAGTGTGAGTTCAATGCCTGGTTAAGTCAGTGGAGAACTTTCAGAGGGGGATTAGCAGGAGATAACTGACATCCATTAGACATGTCATATGGAACTAGAACAGTCTACCCCAGTTCGATATTCCAACCACCTGAAGAAGGCCGGACCGTACAACGGCCGAAACGTCGTGATAAGCATGGCGACAAAGATGAGGACAATAGCACGAATAATGTAAATAGTTTACATAATACCTCATCTCAGAAATATAGACAATTATTTTACTAAATCAAAATAACAACTTTTTAAACCATCCCAGCCATCAAAACCATGTTCTTAAAGGACAGCTTGAATAAAACAACAAATCTCTCATTACCAACGTTTCACAAAGTAACAATTACGCTAATTTTTCATGATATAACCGCGAGAATTTTTATTATTGTAAGAACGGTTTTCTTTCTACCCTTAAACCAAACTAAACACTGCAAAATGTTTCTATAGCTTAGGAAATACATCAGATGAAAACGGCGGTATTTCTGACTGAATTTCTTGTCTTTAAGATTTACTGTTGTTATCACACAATTTCGGCCGTTGTGCACTTGGGCCTTCAGAAGCCAAGTAGATTAAATAAGTGTTCGTGAGTTTGGTAACATAGTTTTTTTTTCCCTATTAATTTTTTTTTTACCGCTTATCAAGCCATTGCAGATCATTTAATCCCAGAAAATATTGTTAGAGTGTAAGAATTTTTTGGTGGGGTCGGGGAGATAATACGGGTTTCGTGATAAAAATCTTACCAATTAACCTATAGCTAGAGGTAGAAGAGGTGGATTCATGCCTTTCAAAATGTATACGCGCGTGCGTATAAAAAAATCCAACAGGAATACGAACTCAGTTATCCGATTAATAATTCCGAGCCATTAACCGTTACATTAGTCGAACATCCAGGCCTACATCAACTGGTATTCCCAAAAAGTAACCCATATCTAGGTACTGTTTTGGTTCGACGTTGCTTACCTGCGGTGTTCGTACGGAAATCGCTATTTCATCCTGATTTGGCCCGGACAGTTTGTACTTAGACTCTGTATAAACGTAGCGAGCAATAAGTGAACAGTACTAAAAATAAGAACTAGACGGATATCCCAAGACATGACGAGCAGAATTAGACTAGTATGCCCCCGTAGGTTAAATAAAGGGTTCCGTTCGGAATTACCTGTAGGTTATCCAGACCGATATACACCTGATGAAGGCCGGAGGGCACAACGGCCGAAACGGTGTGATAACTATAACAAGGATGAAGACAATAATGAAAAACGAAACTATCATTCTCAAAAACAAGAAACGAGAAAAATCTCTATAGTTGACACCAGAAAAAGGTTGGAATTATATTATGGTCTCTTGTAGAAAAATGGCTAGGAACAATCTAGACTGATTTAATAGGGACCAATTATATATAAATAAAGAAAATAATATTGGGAAGACGGACTCTAGGCACTAAATTCCCATCATGAGTAGCCCAGAGTCACGATAAGACCAGCAGGATATGTGGAAACGGTCACTGTCAATAACATGACGGACTGAACAATAAAGATGTCTACATCGAACTCCCAGAAGGGTCCACCAAACTAATGTATACAGAGATCATTACCCAAATAAACAAGTTAAGCCCAATTTTGTAGAAGGACATCATACATTTTACTCCATCAATAACCCCGAATTGGGCTTCTATTACACTGGTGATTCGCAACGATGGCGTTACCTCCACCTCTTAGTGGGTAATGGAAAGATCCAGGGGGTGGTAAGAAAAAAGTGGGCAGCCATTGGTGGTAGTGGCACATCTGAACCCACACACACACACACACACATACACACACACACACACACACGTGTGCGCACACACACATACAAAAAGATACACACACGCACGCTCACACGCACATATAGTAGAATTATTACGGCTGTCTTGATATGCATAGGAGGGTAAAGAGCACACGCCGCTCACACGCAAAATACGCCCACAAAATCTACCATTGCAAACTACTCGCCCCACTCACACACACACATACAAACACACACACACCTCAAGTGCATCCCATTTGTATACCATTTCTTATTGGAAATACTAAGATACTAATTTAACATGCAAAACTAGCACTAAGATAATACAATCAAAGCTTGACTATATAGTTGGGGTCAACGAATCTATTACGGCTGTGTCTTGATATGCATAGGAGGGGTGCAAAGAGCCAATTTTACACGATCCATAAACTTCCTAGATTACTAAGGAATACACTCTCCTATCTTTCATTTAGCTCATCAAACAAGAAAAATGTCAAATGCACCATTCTAGACAGATAATATCTGTCTATATTTCTGAGTTATTTTGATTAACATGACCCTCCAAAAATCTACCATTGGGTCGCACCCAAATTCTCCAGTACCACTGCGTTAATAATTGATTCTTGTATTAAGATGTTAACACAGTGAAACTCAAACTACTCAGGAATTCCCCAAGTTTAATCCCCCCAACTCGTTTTAAAAATGTTACTTTAATCACCTCAGGAATAAAAGTATTCCTTTTTTTATCTAACTCACACAATTTCTCAATTAAAATATTTATATGAAAATTGTATATTTTGTTTTAGAAGAATCATTCTTTTATAATGGCTAAAATAATATAAAAATAATAATAATACAGAAATTGTTATTAGAGACCGCAAACAAAAAAGACGAAATATAAAACATTTGAAAGTCAACAATCCCTATTGTAGTTGGAGCACACCCTTTGTCCAGAAAAAAGAAGATAAACCACTTCACGGTCTTGTTCGAACACAAGAAAAAATTGAATAAAAAGCTTAACCGTAGTATCTTGTTCGTCGTTTTTTAATGAAACATGCCTAAATATACAACTATCATATATATATATATATATACATATATATTATATATACACACACACATATATATATAAATATATATATATATGTATGTATGTATTTATGTATATATATATATGCATGTGTGTATGTGTGTGTAAGTGAATGCTAAGACACGAATGTATTTAAGAATATACATTATTGACATATATATATATATCTTGGTTAATTAGCCCGTAGGTTGTGACAACAAATTATATTCTCACGCGACTCCTGACTGGTGTGGTGTATGCGGAGGAGATAACTCGACTTGTTATTGGGAGAAGGGAATCCTTACAAGGAACATTTCAGCAGGTTAGTATTCATCGATTCTACGCTTCTTTTTTATTATTTATATATTAAGAAACATTTTTCAGCTTAATTGAGTGAAATGTCTAGTGTGTGGTAGGGTGTTTTTAAAAACGGTTGCTTAGATAAAATAAAATACAAATTATTATGAACTTTTGTAAATTGTTTTTCTAAGCCGATTATATGCCTAAAAACTAATTTCAATTAAGCTGAAACATATCCCCGATATATATGCATTTAAAACATTTGCAGTTTGTGTGTATATGGATATTGAATTCAAATATATATATATATATATATATATATATATATATATATATATATATATATATATATAAATAAATAAATAACATATAAGATATATAATTCGGTGTTCTTATAGATATTTTTATTTTTATTTAAGACAAAATATATATATATATCTTGTGCTCAATGTAAATTTGACTACAGAGCATTTCCAAAATCGATTCTCCGCTTCTTGAGGATGAAATGATTAATGTAAAAATCAATTCTAATGTATTTAATTTAATTATATATATATATATATATATATATATATATAAGAAAGAAAGAACAAAAAATAAATAAATTGTTTTATAGATATTTTATTTTGCAAAATTTTACCATTTTTGAAACATGAGGATGAAATGGAACTTGTCTTTAATTTAATTACAAAATTAAATTCAGAAAAAAACATGGTTAGACATGTTTTAAAAACAATTTTTAAATTTATATATATATATATATATATATATATATATATATATATATATATATATATATAATGGACTCTCCCATCGGTTTCGACGTATGAGGATCTGACAGCTTAGTTGATTCAGTTATGAAATTTTGTGCGATAATCTTAAGAGGTATTTAAGACCCGCTAGTGATTTACAAAGCAGGCGACATATGTATATTCCATTCAATATCTATATACACACAAAACACAGAAAAGCATATGTGCGTGTGTGTGTGTGTGTGTGCGAATATCGGTGTATAACATATTTCAGCTTTACTTCTAGACGCCGTAGCCCAACATCACAATCCATTTGGAATAGGCCAACTCCGTGATCAAATTAAAACATTCCGGGCAGGATCCAGGCCCGCAATCTTGATATTTTGGATTCGCAAGTTTTCATTACTGTGTTTGTTTTGGGCGAACCTTTTACGTGTTTTTTTTTTCTTTTTTTCTTTTTTTAATTTTATCTTTTTTTTTTTTTCTTGCGGCGACATTCTGATATGATAACAATAACTTGGTAATAAATTTGGGAATAATCGAAATAAATTGCGAAAGGCAGCAAATGTCACCAATGAAATAAAAACAATTGTTTGTACGGAAAGTAAGGACCTACGTACATCAAATTAACTTTAAATGAAGTAGCGGCAGAAGAATTATCTTTGAACTTTTAAAAGATAACCTTAAACATTAATGCAGTATTTAAATGCAGCAATCAGTTTCTTCTGTAGTTCTGTAGTTTATTGTTGCCTATCGCATACGGCAGAAGTCTGCGACGCAATATTGCAATCAAAAGAGCCAAGCTGCATCGAGGAAAAGAAAGTCCCGTGCAAATGAAAACCCAAATCAAACGGCAGCCAGGATAGCTTCTAATACTGAGAATATGCAAAAACTAAGAGACTGAAACTCCTTAACAAGCCTAACATCCAATCAAGAGCACTGCGCATGATCTAGCTTAAATGCTGCCCAACAAACCGGCTTTCAAGCTGGTATATATTAAGCTGGGGTATATCTATATATGCTGCATTCCAAAGATAACTTTTGAAATAAATTACGATAATTGGGACAATTGAGTGACGAAATATAGGAAACATTTACGATAAAGAACCATTGCAGAAACACTTTTTTGAAGAAAACCGGCAATTTCCTACACAGTTGAAAAACCTGCAAGAAAGAAAATGTACGTTGATAATGATCATGTAGTTTTTGTATGTGATATTCGTAGCCTGTCTACGTTTACCGTTCTCAATCTAGCCCGACCAGATATATGCGTAAACATTATACTTGACTTCGAGCTGATGGTACACAGTTGATTTCTCTCGTTTTATTCGCCCCAATTTGTAAAAATGTATGTAGACATTAACCCAGATTAGCTTGATATGTGAAATACAACATCAATGTACTATCTAATACCCAATAAAACGATTTTGTTTGTCGTATTAATGAAAAAACATAACATGTATATCCCATTCTGTGCATCAGAGCCACTGTTGATCACACAATGTATTAGTTTCTTGTTCCATAATTTTATTCAATGTTTTTACTCACAAATATACAATTTCGCTTCATTAAACTTATTCATTTTTACTTTGTGCATAATACTTTAAGATCTAATTTCTCTCCAAATATCCTTCAACATCCTCCTTATTGTTATCGCCAAAACATTTGTGTCCATTCAACAAGAAAGTTTTGATCATCACAAAGGAAACACTCCTGCGCAATAATCACTATGGATTTCATTCTTCTAGGTAGATTGTTAATGGCTGAACTAACATTGCGCATTGAATCCTTAAAGTGCTTGAAAATAAACTGATCACGCAAGTGATCGCTGTCGATACATCAAAGGCTTTTGACGTAAAGCATTGCTCAGTCTTCCCCAATCATCTCAATTATCAAGTCCTTTCTGTCAGCTAGGTTAACGAAGCTCGTATGCAATGTCCAGGTGTTTGGAGCATATGTTAGCAATTAGGCGACACAAGATACTTTATCTGGTCATACCGTTTATGTGCTTTGTATTAACGATCTGCCTGAGACAAATTATCCTGTCATTTGTAAGTATATATGCGGACAATTCCACGGTGCTCACCCAAAACACTAGAGGACCACTTACTTACATATAATCTATCCGTTGATGTAATAATCTGATTTAATGAGGGAAAAACTGACGTGTCTCATTCAATATCACCACAACAAGGTAGGTATATTTACCCAAACTCTCAACCAAGGCTGGGTGTATCGCTGGGTCGTTTTAACTTGGTGGTGGTGGTGGTGGGGGGCGTCATACACTTGGTTATGCATATGAGCCAAAGTCAAAAATTGTTTTTTAGCTTCAATCCTAACCTCCTGACAACTTCGGAATCTCCTGCAACTCTTCTGTGCACTCGACAAACTACGCGCATATTCGAAATTAAAAATATCAAATGACGACAATTTACCCATCACGCCCTGTATATATATATATGTGTAGCGGACCGTGTGGGTTTGAGTGTTGTTGAATTAGAAACACGTGCTGCTTATTTCCCGCTAGAAAAAGGTCCAACTACAAGAACATCGCGGACTCAAATTGAGTCTATCCGAAGATGTAAAAGAAAACAAAACAAGACCGATATATATATATATATATATATATATATATATATATATATATATATATATATATATATGTGTAAATATATATATATATATATATATATATACATATATATATATATATATATATATATATATATATATATATATATATATATGTATATATACATTAAACAACAAATTTACAAGCGACAAAGACATTAACATTTGTGTTTGTTAGTGAACGTAAAGAGTTTCTATTGTTCGTGCGTACGTGTGCGTGTGTTTGTGTGTGTTTGTGTGTGTTTGTGTGTGTATAATATTAACAGCGTCTCCCACAAATGCGAAATGCTATCTTTTGCGAGAGCTTAAATTTTAGGTGTTTGCTGAAATGAAGAAATGAAAGAGAACGAGGCAAGAAGTCGCCCAGTATTTATAGTGTAGGGAGAGCGACCCCTAGTGAATAATTAGGGAATTAAAAAGAAGATAACTCCGACATAATTTTTTTTTCTTTAATTCAAACCTTATTTGTAGTGGATACCCTGCATTTTTTGTAAGTGTTCATATCATCTACCGGCCTGCTCACTCTAGAACACTCTAGAAAAGAAAACCTGCTCCATCCCCCTCTGCAGCGGGAATCATCTTTTGATCCGTTGGCCGTTCGGCTACTGAGGGCTTAACAGTCAAGCAAGGTTCTATTTGCAGGATTATGTTATTTAATCTTGTACTCTCATAAAGCGATGTAAAATCTGTTGATTGTTCTACACGACATTTTTCAAATTCAAAATTGAAAAAAAAAAGGCTTTTGTACATTTGTTTGTATTGTTGATTTGCTTGTCTGTAATTTGTAGATGGCTTATCATTAAGTAGAGAGGCTAAAACATTCCTTTTCATAGATTGTTTTTCATCATTGGCAGTTGCCATATTCTAGTATTCTTGCTAGAACAATAGTAACATTGTTACTGCTGTCGTGAGATAAATGCTGTTTTATTTTGCTTATCTTAGCAATGAGATCTATATTCACTGAGTATTTTCGGGTATCGTTTCGTGCTCAGCAAAAATTTGTAAATATCCTGGACACGTCACATCAGATGGTAAGATAATGTCTTTCATATCATTTGTTCACGTTTAGTAGTAGTGGTAGTAGTTTAGTTATAAAGTCATAATCAGCTGGCGTAATACTTATTGATTAAAATAGTGGAATCAAATTCCGATCGAGTCTGTTGTGCTTACTTTCGCATAAATATTCTTATGTCTTATCAAAGTTATGAATCTATCCCCAACTATTCTAGAGGAACACATTATCACCAATTTAGTTGTTGCTTCAGTTGTCTCTGTAGCAAGATATTTTTGTCGGGAGGTAGCTGCTAGCAACGGGCGTAAGTGATTTTGAATTCAAAATTACCCATCAGATTTACAGATTGCTGAACGGCCCCAAATCTCATGCTATTAATATCTAGCTTTTATATCATTTCCAGACATTTAACGAACTTAATAGATTTGGCTGGAATTCGAACTCGATATGCTGATACTACTTTCACTGCTGGTAACCGCTGTGCTACCCGCGTATAATTTGTTCCCAGTCTTCTTTCCGTTTTTATCATTTCGTGCCAAAAAAGGGGCAAAAGCAACTAAGACACGAAAGTGTAAGGAGTGTGATAAAATATGAGGAAATGAGAAAAAGAAAAAGCATTATTAAGGAGAGAGAACAATAAAAGAACTGGAATAAAGGAGAAAAAAATAACGTTCGACATAGTTTTGAAAATCGAAATTAACTGCAAAACCAAAAGATCGGAAGAGATTTCGACAAGTGAAAACTGCGAGAGAAAAAGAAAACTTCTAGAATTTACGATTGCATCTAGTCATTTGAAATTTAAAATGATAAAACCTTGCAATCAATTTAATACTGGGCTTAAATTCAAAATGTCTGTGGTGTTGTGGGAAGTGTATATTCGTTGGTAATTGTTGCTTGTATAAGAAGGTAGGTAAGCAGTTCGGACAGCTGCTAGTTTGGCCTAAAGGTTCAACAAACAATCAAATTGAGGTCACCATAACATAAACAAAACAAAATATGAAAGAGAAGGGTATATCAGAAACACTTTATATTTAAATACACATAAATGATAAGTATAATGTTTGATTAACACGCAAAAGTCCGTTATTAAAATGTTCATTCAAAGAAAAGAAATCAGATTATGAAAAGGAATTAAAGTGTCATTTTGTGAATACTTAAGTTTAGGCGTGCGGGTCCCAGGAGATGAAAAAAGGTGTCATTTGATATCTCTGTTGGTGAAGGAAAACTGAGGCGTCGGGTTGATGGGTGAGAAAAGCGTAGCGACATTCTATGAAACTTCAAAGGCTTTCTGACCAGAAGTGAATTCATCGTTCTATTTATGTGTGTCCATCGGATCTGAGTCAGTATGCTGAAACAAACTGTTGGATATGGCGCGGGGCCTGTTTAATTGGTGGAAATTGCTTATTATATTCTTTTATTTCTTTTGATTTTCCACCGGAACTTATGCGTCGAGTCTGGTGCGCAAAAACCAGTATTGGTCATTTGCTATCAGACCTCTGAGGGTTAAATCCGTTTGCTCAGTAACAATTCTAAGGGCAACATATGAAAATCAGACCAATTATATAAAAAAGACAATGAATCTATGTTACGTCGAGGAGAATGTGACTGATGTCAAAATGTTAGGACCGATAACATAGCATCCAACACATACACGGTGATTGTTTTCAAATATTAAATAATTTACTTCAAATAATATAAGATTGCATTGGCTTTTTGCAGGTTACCATGAGTTACTTCATCTTCCCAAATCCGCCAGACATATCAAAATCGTGGAGAGGGGACAGAATAATGTTGTTCTTGGTAAGTAAATTTTAAAAATATTTGTTAATAATGATTGTAAAAACAAGCGTTTCACTTCAAACAGATTCTATGGACAATACATAATTAATGTTCACTTTTGAAGGACAGATCAATTGGCCGCCAAAGATGATCTGTGCAATTAAGTTATTCCGTAAACAGTTGAAGAGAATTTCACGAATGTAAGTGCCAAAAGACTAATAAGTGAAAAAAATATACAAAAAAAAAAGATATTTTAATTCTTTTGGAGCTTGCGGCTTACGTTGAAACAGTTGGTACCGTTGTTATGACGTTTATTTGATAACGTAACTGTCCGGGTTTGAATTCTGTTGTCCTAAATGTAGGACGAATCGGCCATCCAGTGCATTCTGTTGAGGTTTCTCGTAGACGCGATGAATTAATTATGATTATCTCAAATACTCCTAATAAATTCTATTATATATATTATGAAAGTCCGACAATTATTCGAAGACAGTTTTATGTTTATGCATTCTTTTTATAGATACACATATTTAAGTAAATGCTCTGTTTATAATAAACAGTATTAAACAACATTTATCGGGTTGAATGTCCGAGGAATTTTCTCAGAAAATATTCGTCCTCCGACAGGATTCGAACCTGTATCCTATACGGAACCGTCATTTAATACTGTTTATTATGAACAGAGAAAATTTTGTATCTATAAGAAGAATGTATATATCTATATATAATGCGAGAGTAATTTAGTATATATATACGTATATATATGTATATTAACCACTATATATATATTTATATATATATATATATATATATATATATATATATATATATATATATATATATATATATATATATATATGTATGTGTGTGTGTGTGTGTGTGTGAAAATGTATATATATATATATATATATATATATATATATATATATATATATATATATATATATATATATATATATGCATTATTATAAAGGGCTCAATATATATATAGCTATATTTGGTTGGATATAATCCAAATAAATATATATATATGTGTGTGTGTGTGTGTGTGTTCTGGGTATGACGATATACGGCAGCCTTAAGTTTTCTATGGGTAAATAGAGCTGGCCAAGCTCTTTAGTGTTTTAGAACAGGACTGGTCTAAAAGATGGAAAACTGCTTACACGAAAAGTCTGAGGTTTATTGTCTGCTTGGTCTGTGTCATTTATTTGGACCTAATTGCGAAAAGTGTGGAATATTCTGCAACAAGCCTTTACCACTTTAATCAAATCATTTGTGTGGGTTTTCTTGCGGTTTACCCTGATTCGATCGTTCTTATGAACATATTATTATCGTACAAAATTCAAATGGTTACGTTGTCAGATCCTCATACGTCGGAACCGACGCGTGTATATATATATATATATATATATATATATATATATATATATATATATATATATATATATATATATATAAATTCCCAAGAGGATAGAATCCAGGTAGAACTCAATGTTCAGGACAGAGGAAGAATATAATATCAAACGCTCAAACACTAATATTCCATGGTTATAATTTATTACATTGGAATCGTAATCACGATCCAATTCATCAGACCTCCTACAAAATCAAAATTTTTGAATTAGCAAGTCTAATTAATTGGACCGTGATTACGATTCCAATGTAATAAATTATAACCATGGAATATTAGTGTTTGAGCCTTTATATATATATATATATATATATATATATATATATATATATATATATATATACCTTGATTTACCTTAGGTCTAGTGTATTGCATATGTAAGTTATTGTATTGAAGAAGAAAAAGATTGAGTGATTGATTCGTTTTTTTACAGTTTATCAACCATTTACAGGTTATTTAAAGCCATGAAATATTTTTAGATTGTAATAATAATTTTTGGAGATGATGATTTACTGATACAAATGTTACTAATTAACCCATAGCTGGGAAAGAAGAGGTAGATTTCTACATTTCCGAAGGATATTTGCGCATAAGTGAATGTAACGAACCCAACCGGAATTGGAACTCGGCTGTTCGATTAACATTTACGAGCGATTATCCATTACACCACCCGCACATCCAATCTTAAAGCCAAATTATCAAATGGTCAACAATCTAGGCACTGACGTTGCCTACCTTCGCTGATCTTCCAGGAAGTTGACTTTCAACGTGAAGAAATTTATTTTTAGAATGGTAGATTCGGGTGTGTAAGAGAAATGCGCTAGGAGACAGAATGACCTGGACATTCGCGTCCGAACGAAAACTGTAAATTTTGGAATGACTTCAGTCGTTAAGTATGTGGTCAAGATTTGAAGCGATTTGCTGTCGATGACTCTTCAGCGAAAACCACCAGATGCCTGTTGTAAACAGGCAAATACACGGAATAATATTAATAACATTTATAGGAATGATCATCCACTTTAAGATTGTAGAGCCAAATGAAAAGAGGATAAATAAAACAATGTACTAGGTACAAGATTCTATGACAAGTAAAACTAAATGTTTTTTGCAGTTATCACAGGAATTTATGATAGATAAAACGGGAGAGTATCACAAGTAAAGGATATATGGAAATTAATAAGAAAAGCTAGTATATATAGGTCATTAAAAGACCCATATCCTTTGTGCATACATGATAAACTATATATTACTAGGTTTATTAAAAATAAAAAATTACTTAATCAAAGAAATGTAATAGCTATACTTTGCCGACATTGACAATATTTTTCCTTAAATAAGGTTTAAAAAAAAGCTGATAAATGATATATACATATTTATATTTGATATTTATTTAATAATAATTTTTAAATAATTTAAGTAATTCTATTACATTTATTTGTTGTAAAAGAAGTGTAGTCTATTCGTAATTAAAATTAAGAATAATATTTTAAAATTGTAGTTCAGTAGGACGTATTCATATACAAACAACCCTTTTAGAAAAAAATCTTTATGCATACAAGTACAAATTTAACGGCGAAACAAAAGTGCCGAAAAACTTCTTGTCGTTGAAAAATACCAGACAACATGCGTTGAACGGATGTCATCTTTCATTGGAAAAGTCACCCATACTCTACCTTGACTTAACCTCTTTTCGAAAGAGTTTCTGATTACTAACACTGATGACAAAGATACCAGTCAAGAGGCAAGGATTCTTCTTATTCTCCTATGTATTCAGAAAGTGGCCGATCAATAATCTCCACGATTTCCTATGCTTTGTAGTTTTTGGTAATTTCTAATGTTTTCTTATGAATCTAAGTTCATTTTCTGCCATGCATTTGCATATGCTTGTTAGATAGTTCTCTCTTTTCTTTCTTTTATTTCATCGAGTGAATGCCAATTTTTCTAAGCTGTCTTTCGTTATTTTATATCTTGAAAATGTCAAATGTACCTTTCAGATTCTACGTATAACTGTCTCTTTTTTCCACTTATTTTCATTAAAAAAACACTTCATCGTTTTTTACGTGGTTTTCCCAAAGTATTCTCAGCATCCTTCTGTAGAACCACATTCCGTTGCCTCAAGCGAATTGTTTTCCATCTGTGAAATAGTTGTCCTGTATTCACAGACTTATTGGAGAAATCATCTTACACAGTGGCTCAGCTCTGTTTTTAGTTTTTACATTTTAAAGATTTTTTTTGTTTCTTAAAATTTTGTCTAGATTTTGTAAAGTACTTCTGGAAAAAAAATATCGTGCATTCGCGATTCCAGGAAATGTCATATTGAACTCCACGATTGTTTTATTAACTTCATTTAATATATGCGTATGCACGTCTAAATACGATTTTTTTAAAATTCAGAGTTAATATTCTACTAGACTGTTTGCCAATCAAGGCTAATAATGTGCTACTAATTAAGCGAGAGCTGGTGGGAGAGAGATACATATCGCGTAAGTGAGTGTAACGAATTTGGCTTGAATCGAACTCTGGTTTTCATTACACCGCCAAAACATGAAGTAAATAGTCCTATTATTTGTAATTATTACGGAAATAGACCTGTGCCTGATATAAAATTAAATCCTGTATTTAATAAACATTATTGAGGAAGATATAACACGCAAGATACTTCCCCTTCTGTCAATAGAGATCATTTCAGATGGCTTAATTGCGAAACACTTTGCCGTTAGCTATGATCAAACGAATCCGCCATGATGGGAACCAGACGACATTGTTTGAAAAGACGGTCTTCGGTAACGACAACCATATGGTCGAAGTTAAATGATTTTTAAACAGATATACTCGCAATTTAAAATAAAAAAGTTTTTTTTTAATCAGAATGTGGAGAAATGTTGATGATGGAAGTAGAAGAGCAAAATACATGAAAAGTTTTATGAAAAAATGTCTCCAACGAGCAACAATGAAAGCCGGTACATATTAAATATTCTGAAGCTGTTGATGTTTTGTTTCAAGGGCTTTCAAGAAGAATACGACATTTTGTTGAAATAATTAATTGAAACAACCGCTAATGCACTAATTAAAATTACAATTGCATCAGGTTTTGAGTGACGTCTGAAAAAATCACACAGTCTCACATCTTTGCTATGTTGAAAGCTTGTCAAGAGAAGAATTTGTTAATATCAAATGGTAGAAAAATAATTTTTATAGATTTAAATCAAGAAAGTCAAATAATAGTACGTCACTGAAATTGACACAAATTTATAAATATAAAATTATATCGATTTATTAATATTGATATATCTCTAATTATTTTATGGATTCTTTCTCGGAAGATATTCTATTATTACAATGTGGAATATTTTATATCAAAGGGATGGAAACAGAAACTAAAAAAAAACGAATCTAAATGAAATTGGCTAGAATACATATCATAACATATATTATAGAATATAGAAAATATATACATATATATTTATAGAAAAATAAAATTATTTTAAATATAAAATTCTCAGTGTCTTCCTTTCATTGTGAGCCACATCCAGGAAAACATAAACTAAATCCGATGAAGTCATGAAGGAAAATACGCCTGACACAAAAAAATATATTCCACTTTGTCAGA